GTCCAGCCTTCTTGGGCTCCTTTGCCCTTTAGGACTGCCTCCCAAGGGACTTTGTCAACCAGCCTTCTGAACAGTCCAAGGTCTGCTCTCCAGAAGTCCAAGGTGGCAGTTCTGCTGAGTCCCCTCCTTACTTCTCCAAGAATTGAGAATTCTGCCATTTCATGGTCGCTGTGCCCCAGGTGTACTCCAACCATCACATCACCCACAAGGCCTTCTCTGTTTGCAAACAACAGGTCCAGCAGGGCACTTTCTCTAGTTGGTTCACTCACCAGTTTTGTCAGGAAGTTGTCTTCCACACACTCCAGGAACCTCCTAGACTGTTTGCTTTCTGCTGTGTTGTACTTCTGGCAGACATCTGGTAAGTTGAAGTCCCCCCCAAGAACAAGGGCTAGCAATCATGAGACTTCCATGGCAGCACTCCAATGTGAGTTATATGAGTTGTCCCACTATGGTTCTGTGATGGCAGCTCACAAATCTATGAGCTCTGACAGTATCTGCCCAAGGGTGTTAAGAGAGCTGGCTGACATCCTTGCAAGGCCACTCTCCAGAGACTTTGAGAAGTTGTGGAGATTGGGGGACATCCCAGAAGACTGGAAGAAGGCTAATGTCACCCCTGTCTACAAGAAGGGCTTAAAAGGAGGATCCAGGAAATTATAGGCTCATCAATCTTACTTCAGTCCCTGGGAAAGTTATGGAATGAATTCTCCTGGGTGCTATCACAAGTCTAATGAAGCACGTGGTTGGGAAAAGCCAGCAGGGATTCATCAAGGGTAAATTGTGCTTGACAAACCTGATTGCCTTCTATGACAAAGTAACCTGCTCAGTTGATGTGGGGTGAGTGGTGGACTTTGTTTACCTGGATTTCTCCAAGGCTTTCAACACAATTTTCTACAGCCTCCTCCTAGAGAAACTGATGTGTTATAGTCTGGAGAAGTGGTTGGTGCAGTGGGTGGGGAACAGGCTGACAGGCCGCACCCAGAGGATAGTGGTAAATTACTCCTTTTCAAACTGGCAACCTGTCACAAGCAAGGTCGCCCAGGGATTGATATTGGGCCCAATGCTGTTTATATCTTCATAATTGCTCTGGATGATGGGATCAAGTGTACCCTGATGAGGTTTAGCGATGATACAAAACTGGGGATGCTTTGGAAGGAAGAGCCACCCTGCAGGAAGACCTGGATAGACTGGAAGAGTGGGCCTTATGAAGTTCAAAAAAGACAAATGTAAGGGCTGGGAATACCTGGGAAAATGTAATCCAGGAGTGCAACACAGGCTAGGATCCACCTGTCTAGGGAGCAGCTCTGAGGAAAGGGACCTGAGGGTCCTGGTGGACAATAAGATCAATATGAGTGAACAGTGTGCTACTGTGGCAAAGAAAGCCAACAGGATGCTATGAGGCATCAACAAGGGCATCACCAGCAGAAATAAAGAAGTCATTATCCCACCCTACTCAGTGCTTGCCAGGCCACACCTGGAATACTGTGTTCAGTTTTGGTCCCCACTATACAAAAGAGATGTGGACAGGCTGGGTAGAGGGTCCACAAAGGTGGGCCACAAAGATGGTCAAAGGAGGTGTGTGGCTGGTGTATGAGGAGAGGCTGAGACAACTGGATTTGTTCAGCCTTGAAAAAAGAAGGCTTGGGGAGGGCCTCATCACCATGATCCAGTATTTATAAAGGTGGCTACAAAGAAGATGGAGACTCCCTTTTCACAAAGAGGCACATGGGGTATTGGGTACAAGCTACTCCTGTGGAGATTCCAATTGGACACAAGAAGAAAATTTTTCACCATGAGAACAATCAGCCATTGGAACAATTTCCCCAGGGAAGTGGTGTATTCCCCAACACTGAACACTTTTAAGATTCGGCTGAACAGGATGCTGGGCCATCTTGACTAGACCATGTTTTTGCCAAGAAAGGTTGGATCGATGATCCTTGAGGTCCCTTCCAACCTGGTATTCTGTGATTCTATGATCTCTCTGGAGTGTTTATGTTATTTTTCTCCTGCAATTTTCTCGCACATATTTCAGTCTTCCTCAGAGTGAACAAAAGAGGAGTTCCTCCATCATCCTCTTGCCATCTCGATGACACAGAGGAGACATGGGATCAAGTGGCTCTTTACTTCAGTCTGTCCCTTCTCTAGTCTTTATTCATTTGTTCAGAGGTTCATTGTTGTCTGAGGGCCACCTTGCACCTGAAGCTTCGCACTTGGTCTTGAAAATTTTCTTGCACAGCCTTTCAGGATTCTGAGCATAACTTGGAACATGTCATTAACATTCATAAAACTTCTTGGTGATTATTCTCCCAAGGCAAGTGCTATTGCATCTGACAGGAGGTATCTTAAATTTCAATCTAATTTTAGAAGATAAAGATTAATGGTTCCAGTCCAGTGATTAATTAATCATTATTCCTTAGGAGCCAGCAATGGTGACCTATTGCATCTTCTGTAGGCAAATAAAGGACAATCTCAAATGGTGAGACATATCAGGTGTACACGATTTTCCAAAGCTGAGAGAAATTGAGTGAAGTTATTTTGAAGGACAAATTAAAATGGAATAATGCAAGTGAGAGAGAGGTATTCTTTAGGAGATCATTAGAGGAAGAGCTGGCATAAATTGCATACCCTAGATAAAAGCCCATGCAAGGTCAGTGGCAAAGAAAAAGAAAAAATTAGGGGGAAAAAAGTAGCACGTAAGACGGTAAGGACAATTAGTAATTGACTGTAAACTGAAAATTTCTAAGAAATTAGGAAGAAACTGAATGCATCTGTTGGGCAAATAACTGCAGTTGACATGAATAGACAAAACTAACATACCTCAGAATTCCCTTTTTTCCCCTCTAAGGTACGTATTTTTTCCTATGAATGCCAGTTGTTTCCATATAGCCAAGAGGTTATGCACTAAGAAATTCTCCAATAAGAAAAGACTGAAGCCACATTAATACATATGAGTAATGTCTAACCCTGAGGATTACTACAACATGAGGGTGACTAACCATAGAACAAACTGTTAAGAAAAGCAATGAATTCTTCATCCTTTTATTTTTTTTCAAATGAAGATATACCTGAGGCATGAAGAGAGATGATGATCAGGAGATAAATCTGAAGCAAATACCACCAGGGAGGCTGTTCATGAACAACTGGTCTGCGCATGAATAAGTGTGAGAAATAAGCAAGGTGCACAAAGAGAGAGGGAGAAACTTTTGAAAGCATAGGAAAATTGTTCTTTCACAGAAGACACCAAGACAGAAGAGCTGGTTGAAGAGAAGAGATAGACTTGCTGACTGTAGAAGAGTACTTCTATACAACTCTTGAGAGGAGAGACTGGTTTGGCCACTAGCTGGCGAATGGTTTGGGGAACCACAAAGAGTTTTGTCCTCCTCCATTTGGCCTGATGGTAGTTTGCACCTCATTTGCAATGGGCATCACATCCACCTGCTGTGTATAAACATCTATGCTTGTGCAACATGGGAGCACACCTATACAGGTCATATTTTGTTTTGTGGCAGCACATGCCTAGAATAACTTCATTGCAGTCAAAGAACAAAATCCTCATTTCCAGTTGATGTTTCTCACACTTTTGATAGAGCAAATTCATCCCAGCATGGGTAAGTAGCTGCCATGTGACTGGTATAGCACTGACAAGTCCCTCAGGTACAGATATTGCATGTGGACAGTTCGGATGGGTTTGAAGTTATGCTTGGTTGGCAGAGCTGAGTAGGAAATCCAGTAATATGGTGGATTACTTTTTTTCCTCTTGTAGCTTTAGATATCAAATAAAGTAGGGTTTGAATTCATAGTCTTAAACTCTGGGAAACAATTTTTTTTTTGCTTTTTTTGTTATCAGGCTTAACAGCATTTTGTATTCTCTTTGTTTCAATATTAATGGTTACGGAAGATCATGGGGAATCACAGCTAATACACATTTTCAATTATTTTGTTGTCCGCTTGCAGTTTTTTGTTGTCACCAGGTGGGGTTATTTTGCTAATAGCTGATGTAGACAATGTTAGCATTTACTGCTGTCTGCTCCCTGCTGGTAGTCCCACTGTTGCTATAATGGCAAAGGCAACTTCCAGAGGAAAATATCAGATTTAGACAAAGGATTTCTAGTTTCAAACACTTTCAAATTAAAAATCAACTTAAAGCTTAATTTTTCATAGTCCTTCTCTAAGGAAGAAGTGCAAATGAAATAGACTGGAAATGTGGCCAATATATAGGTGAACAAAGTATCATGGAGTATCAGGATATTTTCTTGCTATTCAACCATCTCTACAGCAGGCTCTGTATCACAAGTTTCAGTGCACTTTGAGCAATGGGTAGACTGGCAAAGGAGTGGTGCTCAGCCTTCTGTGAGGTTTCTGTTTCTATGGTCACTGCATCCACTTCTCTGGAGCCAATGGCAGTTGTTTTTCCCCCTCTTGAACTACCTTACTTTTTATATTGGTGCAAGATGGAAGCTATTTAACAAATTATATTTGATTACCTCTGGGTTTGTCTTCTGACTCAAGGGTAATAGGTAAGATTTCAATTTAAGTGAGTGATGCCTGGAGATTTTGACAGCCCCATTTTTCATAAGCCTTGACGGCCTTTTCACAAGGCTGCATTTTTCTAGAAGACCACAGGTTTGCATATAAAGCTTGCCCACTGCTGTGTTTGTTGTCTACAAAAAGCCCACTGGTGGTGTTCATGAAACTTATTTTCCCAGTAATTTCTTTTAAAAACTTCTTTATTCATTAAATATTTCACTATGTTCTCTGTCTAGATGTATTAGAATCTAGTTCTACTTTTTTTTTCTTTTTGACTTACTTACTTCTTTTTTTCCTTTGTCAGATTTTTTTCAACCTTATCTGACTTTAAAATTAGTGTGTTTATTTGTGAAGGAACAGAAATTAACCAGGAAATGTGTATTGCCCTTTGTCCACTTCATCTGACCGTTCAGGATCTGATCTTACCAGATAACGAGGTACCAGCAGCGGAAAAACTCTCCAGACAAAATTTTAAAGCTGAAGTCACTAACAATGTGGTGCTGTAGCTATTGCATCCCTGCATAACTGGAGTTTGAGTTCAGGTGTTTGAAAAGTAATTAGTCAGGAAATGACAATAAGTCTCAGGTCTCTTTTTCTATGCAAGTCTATGTTCCTGTAAGTGAACACACAGATGGATTCCCTAGAAGGAAAAGTGAAAAATATATCAGAAAATGAAACTTACAACAATTTGTCTGAGATTCTCACAGACTTCTATCTCCAGCCCCATAGGATGCCAGTGGAACCTTGCATCTTCCTTTGTTCTTGTCCTTCACCTTTTGTGATACACATCAACACCTGAAAGCTCCACCTAATGCATTTTCTTGGAGGGGAAAGGAAGATGTTTAATTATCTTCAGAGTGATCATCAATTCCTCGGTGATCAGTGTGGTTCCACAGATTATGCTAACACTCCCATTACATGAAAATTATTTTTGTTGAACAGAAGCTGAAATGCCATATGGATTAGAGAAGGAGGGTTAATCAGGTACAGTGACATCCCAAGTTTTTCTTAACATTCTTAAGCTGTCGGGAAACAAAACATTCATTTGATATGGAAGTGTGATCAGCCGTTTTCATAGTAGACAATTATTCCCAGGAACATAACTCCGCAACATGAAAGGCCTCAGGAGAGCAAATCTGCATGCAGAAGATGGGAATTTGTCTTACAGGATTTGATCTGCTACAAGCACTGCAGTTCATTTGTCCAAAATTGAATGACAATTGCCCTTCATGATTTGAATCACTGGTGACACCTGTCTCCTTCGTCATGCAAATATCATGGAGTCCATTTCTAACAATTTAAAAAAAAAACAGTTACAGAAAGGAAAGTAAAATAGTAGTAGAAATAGCTAGCTTTGGTTTTACTTCACGTCTTAGTTTCCTCAGGTAAAATTGCTCCAGAAACTTTGGATTGTAGTTGAGTCCACAGGCACCCGTGTTTCCATGTGAATGCGTTGTTGGCTGAGCGTTTTACCAAGCAGCTACTAAAGGCAGTGATAGCTCTCAGGTTACAGGATGCTCCTTGGTTATTGTCACACTCCTGGAAAATGAGGGTGGTTGTCTGCTGCTCCGTGGAAAAAGAGAGGGAAGGAGAAGGGGAGGGAGGGAAGGAAGGAAGGAGAGAGGGAGGGAAGGAAGGGCTGAGGCAGAGAGTGGCATCTCCTTGTGGAGACTGGTCCTTTCCTGCAGAAAGGATTGCTATCTTTTTTCTCCCTCTTCTTCTCCCACCTTTCCCAAAGAGTCTCAAGCAAACCCAACACTATTTCCCCCAGCTCCAGTTCCTTCCCTCTTCCGGGCTCTCTGACCTCAATTTCACCTGCAGCTCTGCCTCAGCTTTCTATGTTCTCCATGATCATTCCCAGCATGATAGCATGATTCAGATCAACCTTGGCTGGTCATGTTTGCTGTGCCACCTATCACACCTCTCAGTGATGTCACTGTGATCCAAAATCCTATACAACTTGAGAGTACCTTGTGCTTTCTTTGATTTCTCATGACTGATCCATTCAGCTCAAATGGTAAACAGCGAACAAGACTCATCAGCCTGGTTTTTGCTATGCCTCAGGCACCTTTGTTTCTGTCTTCTCCAAAATCCATGGTGATGGTTCTGTGAAAGGACAAATGATGATAATATTTAATAATTTCCTGAGTATATTATTTTAAACATTTACATTTAAAAAGGAATGGACTCCGTGTAATCATGACATTCAAGAATGTGCTGAAGAAGCAGGGAAAAAGTTTAAACTTATCTACATGCATTTTCATTGCATGTGAGCTCTGCCTCCTCTTCTCTTCTGAAACTTTTATGAAAATTAAAGTCAGAGTCCTGTTGTAAATTCTGTTTCTCTTCCTGAGAATTTATATTGCAAAACTGAAAACTCAGATAAATTTTTCTTTATCACATGCTAAGGTTTTTGTTTCTGTTCAAGCAACTGTTTGTGGCTTTTATGTTTAATATTAATAAATTTATGACTCATTAATCATTTTCCTAACATCATTGCTAAATTTGATCTTTTGTCCCTGGATTTTTTTTCTTGTCTTCTACTTTTACGGCAAACTGATAATATCTGTGTTGTAAATTACAGCATTGAATGGCAGTATCATATTCAGTGGTGCAATACAGAAAAAGCCATTGAAGTAATCAGTCCAATAATATTTACATTTTAAGGTCACATTGTCCAAGCTGATGAAACTACCTTAGAAATCAGAGCATTTGCTGTGTCTGGGAAATAAAAGAAATTACTAAAAATCCCATCTGGAGTCTCTTGGAAGTAAGCACAAGCACTTTTTTTTTTTTTTTCCAAATTCCATTTAAGGAACAAAAAGAAATCATTTACTTCTGTTTACATCCTTTATTTTTCTGTGTTCTCACTCTTTCTCCCCTTTTTTGCATTATGTTCTGGGTTAAGGTTTCAGATTTATTTGCCAAGGTATTCGGTGTAATGAATTAGCATCCACTAAAGCTCTGAAAAGACCATCTGGATAACAGTAAATGTGACTCAGTAGGTCCTAGCAGCTGGTACATATATGCGAACCTCCTGCCTCTCTCAATTTATTTTTTATGCTGTCTTTTTTCCTTTCAAAATATGCTACTGTTCCCTTAAATTAGTTAATAGATTTTAACTCTCAGAAATTCTTGGTTTTCTTTAGTTATTTAAAGAGATTCCTTTTTTCTTAGTGCCCACGTAGAGCATGTTATATCTTTAATGGGGTTTTACCATATCAGAAATCATACTGATGTTATTTGGTTTGCTTGCATGCTCCGGTGAAATGGGTGGACTGTGATATAGCAGGAAATGAATTGCACATCACAGCAGTTCATGTGGTCCCATTTGTCTGCGAGTGGTTCTGGGACCTTCCTCACAGCAAGAGACTGTTTTATCTTCAACAGTAGAAAAGTAAAAATAGGTGAATCACTATTGCCCCAGTGAAAAAGTATCAGAAATTACTGACTTCATATCCAAGGGTTGTTTTCCCATTCATCCCTCACTGTTGTCCATGGAAATTAATTTTCCAGACTACTTTTTCATAATTAGCATTCTCTAAATTTAGGATGCTAAGGTACCCAGAAGCGACTGTGGAGCCCATCTGGCCCCCCATTCGGATGACCAGAGGATGCTGCAAAGGCATAACTCTGCCATGTGTCTGAAGCTGGACTTCTCACACTGTTCTGTTTTTGAACCTTATGGAAGTTCACAAACTTGAGATTGCAAAGTCCAACTGCCGTCCATCTACTAGCAGGGTTTCTTAGGGGCTGGTGCTATTTAACATCTTCATTATTAACTGGGGGAATGAGACAGAGTGCACTCTGCAAGTGTGTTATGGCGGAAAGCAGGACTGCTACCCAGATAGACTTTGGCATTCTGGAGAATTGCGTTCACATGAATTTCTTGAAGCTTATTGAAGTCAAATGCCAAGTCTCAGGTCTGGGCTGGAATAATCCCATGCAGCAGTACAGGATACTAACTAGCTAGAAAGCAGCTTTTCTAAAAAGGACTTAAGATTTCCTGGCAGACAAGCTGAACACAATTCAGGATGTGTCCTGCCAGGTTCGAAGGCCATCTGCATCCTGCACTGTATTAGCAAAAATCTACTAAATAAGTGAAAGGAAGTGATTTTTTTTTTTCCTATTTCACACTTGTGAGATTGCATCTGGAGCACGGTCTGGTTGTGCACTCCACAGTATAAGAAGGTCATTGATACACCAGTGCAAGTTCAGTGGAGGGCTACTGAGCTATTGAGGTGGCTGGATCACAAAGCACAAGGAGAAGCTAAAACTATCAGGTTTGTGGTGCTTTGAGACAAGAACACTAAGGGAAGACTGGAGCTGACTTCATTCCATGCCTGTTGTTAGAAAAAGACAAGCCTCTCTTCTTGGAGATATATGGACAATGTGAAAGGAAAAGAGACAACAGAAAAGTTGTATCAAGGGGAATTCCAACTGGATATTAGGAATAATATTGTAACGAAGCAGGTGGTTAAACACTGGAACAGGTTGGCCGCAGAAGTTGTGTAATCTCCCTCTTTCCTTGGAGGCAATCAAAACTGACCTGGACAAGGCACTTGTGAACCTTCTTTAATTCTAGAGACCTAGGACCAGCTGGTCTCCAGATATCCTTACCAACTTGTTATTCATTGATTCTGTGATTCAGAACCAAGGCTGACCTGTGGTAACGGCCTTTCAAAAGAACTTTAAAATACCCATTAAGTAAACCTATGCCAACTTGGTCTCAGGTGGGCAGTGAGTGTCTTCTACAAAGCAATTAAGTACATTTATGTTCTTACAGCTTTTGCAGCTTCATACACTTGGTTATGTAGCTCTTTCCCATGTCTCGTTTTATCTTTTCAGCATTAGTTCATCTTCTCCATCTCCTTCATGACAGGGGAACAGCAGATGGATCAGGACATCCAAGTGGCTTGTAAATCCCCTTACATATATATATATATCCATAACATATTAAATATACTTCCCTTGACACATTTAATAAGCTAGCAATGTAGAAGTCCACGATGATATTACCTAGAAAGAATAAGTGTAAGGTTCTTCTTTCAATTATTGCTTCACTTTTTCATGTCCAAATGGTTTTGAGAGCAATTACAAATACTCATACAACAATGTAGTTGTCTATGCAAATGCTGCCTGACTTTTCAACTCTTTGAAAACCAATGGACAGTTATTCAGCTGCAGGATCATATAATTTCTGATGTGTTCAAAAGATCCTCCTCACTTCACTCAGTTTCCAGTGATGTTGTCATATTGCTTTTAAGTTCCTTCCCTCAGGATTCTTAATTAGTCTACTACCACAAGCTAAGCAGTTCACAGAATGCTGTGTAGTGGCCAGTAGCTACATGATATGTAATTATCCCTTCCTGATCCTTGTGGTTTATCTCCAGTTCTCCCTATTAGGTTTAACTCCAGTTCTCCCTATTAGAAAATACAAATTTAATAACTATGGTGACATCTGACACTCGTTTTGACTTCCACATAAAGCTTAAAACTATTTTATTCAGAGATAGAAACTGTGTTGTTCACCAGAAGCAGGTAGGGATGAATTTGTAGAACAAATTTGAGCAAACATGTTTCTGCCTGTTACTTTTCTGTTGGTTAACTGAGGAATCATAAGTTTGTAGTCTGAGTATTAACTAGGAGTATTGTGTGGTTTTTAAGCAAAATTAATCCGTAGATCAATGGATAACATTTGTGGGATGAGTTACTTGTGGGTCATCAGACATCTTATCTTTGAGGGACCTTTTTACTCCCGTGGGTCATACCCATACCTGAAGCTGCCTGCAACTAATTCTTTTTAGAAAAATAAACAAAAATCTCTTCAATTCTTGAAGTACAGAAGTTTATTACTCCCAGTGGAAAGAGGAAAATCACAGCATGGAAATATATACGTATAAACCTCTATACTTTTATATACATTTGCAAATACATAGTTCTTTTACAATATGAAAAAGTTGTGTTAGTATGAAAAGGTCCATACATTTTCTGGTTTGCAAAGACAATTTTTATGTCAGCACCTATTAACAAATTATATTTTTTTAATAGCTTACTGACTTTGTCTTTCCAACTTGACAGTACCTTATTCTCTATTCATGTAATGGATATATCTTTTTCATGATATTTTAGCAATAAACATCTACAAAGTCATATTGTCTTGGTATTTAGCCTTAAGAAGTGACTGTTTCTGGGGAATGAAGAGAAACTGAACTGTTTACAATTCACAATCTGGTCTCCCCACCATCTTTTAACTTGAAGCACCTGGTCACTGGACAAGCACATGGAATATTTCACAACAGACTTACAAGCTCCATGAGAGACTCCTCTCTCTTTCATCCAGGTTGTTATTCTTTTGCCAGACAGATGTACAGTGCAGAGCCAAATGCAGAAGTGAACCACTTCAGAACCCAAACAGTGCCACTATTATATTGCAGACAGGCAATATGTAAACATACTTTGTGTCGGGTAATGAACAGCTGAGGGGGTGAACAAAGCCAGGTGGAGAAATGGTAAGGCTGGAGAAAGCTATTTGCTTCACCTAGGCTGCCTGAAAACTGTTTTGTGTCCAGACTGAAGCCACATCAATGATTTATCAAAACATTTAGAGTTGCACAATATAACTGCAATGCCAGCTTTTTGCTTTCAAAATATTTGCTTGAGTGATATCTCCACAGTCACACACTGCAGGCACAAAACAGTTATTCTAATTGTTAGTGCTGAACTCTTCTCAGTTGCTAGGCATTCAAGACCATGTGTGATTTCAGAAGGTGATTCACATGAAATTATTTGGTTGCCATCTTCAGTGTTATGATAAAATTTCTGTAGGGGCATTTAAAGCAAACAAAAACTTTCTAAACAAGCTAGAACTGGAATGTTTTACAATGGTGAGGCAAACAAGAGGTTATTAATTTTGGACTTGTAATGAACAACACACAAGTGATTCTCTCTGATTTTTTTTATATCAAACTCCAGTATCGCTGGGCAGAGCTCTGGCCCCTGCACTAACCTCTGTAACAGTAAAAAATTAAGCATATATTATGGCTATAAATTAGCCACGAGGGACCAGGGAAGAATTGAGGATCTCAGCGGCATAGACTTGATATGGCTATTAAAGTAACTGGTCACCATTCTTTGTGAATAAGGGGTTTGCTCAAGGTAGTTTACAGAATTAATGTGGATGAGGGTACACCCTCTTGAAAAACTTAGAGATCACCTCATCTTACTAACTCCTGAGTTAGCAAATGTGGACTCTTTTCCCAGAGAAAATGCATCAAACATATCTGACTTCACCCTGCGCGGGGATTCCCATCAGATAAGTTATTCCCAGAGGCAATGTTTTCTCCGGATTCCATTCAATCACCAGACTCCTCAGCTAATTTTAACTATATGGCATGAGTACTTCATCTGCAAGTGACCTGGATGCAATAATTTCATCTGATTTAGTCCATTCTTTGATTTGTTTCTAGATAAAGTTAGTTTCTTGTATTATTTACCACTATTTTAAGTAGTTACTAGAGATTCATTTACCTTAAAACCCATCAAAATAATTATGTTAACTCAAATTCTGTGTTTTACAAGTCTGAATTCCTTTGTTCTGATATTTTTCTAGTGCTATTCTCTTGCTCTATCCACATATACAGCATCACTCTTAACAGTTATTGCAGTGTACTAATAGCTAGTGGTTCGTGGGGCAGGCACTCCAAATAGCACATGGTAGTTCTGAAGATCTACCCTAGGAGAGGTTTATCTCCACTCTTCATGCATTTTTACACATAAACCTAAGGGTATCATCAAAATAATAGAATATCTTAAAGCAACTGCATGTTTCTCAAATATCATCTGAGAATGCAGCATGACTCAGAAATTTGTATTGATAAAGATGAAAAATAATATCAAATTGAACTACAGTTTCTTTCTTCAGGGAAAAAGTTTTTCCTTTGTTAATCAAGGCCTCTTCATGAACATGCTTCTGTATTTCTTCTTACAACCTGGTTTTCTCCCTACGGATTAAAGTCAGCCTTCATTTAGAGTGGTGTAAAGGCACCTAATGACTGCATGGGGAGGTGAAGGCTCCCTCTGAGAGTAGTCTTCTTCATTCAAGCTCTTTCACAAATGCTGAACAGCTACCCTCCTGGGCCAGTCACTTTTAAAAATTCTGATTTATTGAGGGAGTAACCCCATAATTCAATCTTCAGGGGGCTTTTCTGCAGGAGAATGGAGAAGAGGTCCACCCTAAAGCCAAGGTCCAGATGGTGGTACTCAGTAGGTGCGGTCATATGAAATCATGCATGAAATACCATAAGCCTAACCCTTTGCATATCCCTGCCCTACATACTAATCTTTGCCTGTGAACTGGCATGAGAACAGGGCTGACCTGCTGGAAAGCAGCTCTGCCGAGAGGGATCTGGGAATCCTGGTGGATGACAAGCTGACCATGAGCCAGCAGTGTGCCCTTGTTGCCAAGAAAGCCAATGGCATCCTGGGACACATTAAGAGGACTGTGGCCAGCAGGTTGAGGGAGGTTATCCTAGTGATTTCTGATTCCTAGCCCTATTTCTGGGCCCCCCAGTTTGACAAAGATGAGGAACTCCTAGAGAGAGTCCAGAGGAGGGCAACAAAGATGATTAGGGGACTGGAGCATCTCTGCTATGAGGAAAGGCTGAGGGAGTTGGGCTTGTTCAGCCTGAAGAAGAGAAGTTGGAGAGGGGATCTCATCAACACATACAAATACCTTGAGGGTGGATGTCACATGGACAGAGCCAAACTCTTCTCAGTGGTGCCCAGTGACAAAACAAGGGACAATGGACACAAATTGAAGCATAAGAGGTTTCAGTTGAATATGAGGAAGACCTTCTTTACTTTGAGGGTGGAACAGGCTGCCCAGGGTGGTTGTGGAGTCTCCTTCTTTGGAGATATTCAAAGCCTGCCTGGATGATGTCCTGTGCAACCTGCTCTAGGTGAACCTGCTTTAGCAGGGGGGTTGCTTTAGATGATCTCCCGAGGTCCCTTCCAACCCTTGCCATTTTGTGATTCTGTGATTCTGTGACTAATGAAAGGTTAATGGGGATATAGGGCAAATGGTTTCCAAGCTAACTGTAATTAAGGAAGCAACTCAGTCTTGGACATCCTTGGGACTAATTTACGGTGAAGGTAGTGATGGAGTCAGGTCAACAGGAGAGCAGGTGTTGTAATGGGGACAACCTTCTCATCCCCTGGCAAGATCAATTTGGTCTACAGTGACTTCTTGCTGTGAAGTTAAAGTGTGAATAATGTGTGGAATAATACGTAAGCGTCCTCCTGTCTTGCACTGGGTAAAGTATCAAACAGAAGTATTAGCCTACTTTTCCTAACCACAGACCCTCTAAGGGGATGAGAGTTCCTAATAGTAAAAGCTTAAAAAGAAATCTGTACTGTAAAGCAGAGGAAATGTGACTTTCTGCTTCTCTGTTGATTCTAAGGTCAAATGTGGCCTTTCTGGGGTAAAATAGCAGATGAGTGTATTATTTTGTGAGTCACTTATTTCTTCAAGAAGGAGGAATGCTTAAGGAATCCAGCTGGGCATTAACTGACTTCAAGATTGGTGCACATACTTAGAAA